TCTTACTGTGTCTGGGCAGCGCCTGGCACAGTGGGGCCCCATTCTTCAGAGAATCGTAGAGTGTAAGGCCAGGGGGAACCACTGTGTCATTTAGTCTGACCTCCTGTGTAGCACAGCCCAGAGAATTCCACCCAGCTACCCCTCTGGTGAGCCCAGTAACTTGTGTCTGGCTAAAGCAAATTGTCCAGAAAGGCACTGGTCTGGAGTTGAAGACATCAAGAGGTGGAGGATCACTACTTCCCTTGGCTGTTTGGTCCAATGGTTGATCGCCCTCACAGTTAAAAAACATTGTGCCTTATTTCTAATTTGAATGTGTCCGGCTTTAACTTCCAGCCGCTGATTCTCATTATTCTTTTGACTGCAAGAAGATTCAAGAGCCCTTTAGTACCTGTTATTTTCTCCTGTGAAGATACCGGTGTACTGTAAACAAGTAATCTCTCAATCTTCTTTATGAGAAGCTAAACAGACCAACCTCTTTATGTCTCTCACTGTAAAACGGTTTCTCCAGCCCTTGAATCATTTTTATGGCTCTTGTCTGCACCCTCTCCAGTTTTTCAGTATCCTTTTTAAAAGGTGGGCACGAGAACTGCTTCACGGTATTCTAGCATCAGTCTCACCAATGCTGCATACAGAGATAAAATCACCTCCCTTCTGTTCACTTATTTATACACCCAAGAAGTGCATTGGCCCTTTTTGCCGCAGCATCTCACTGGGAGCTCATGTTGAGTTGTTTGTCCACTATCACTTCTAAATCCTGTACAGAGTTATTGCTTTCCAGAATATGGTCCCCCATTCTGCAGGCATGGTGTGCATTCTGTGTTCCTAGGCATTCTTTATATTTGGCTTTATTAAAACTTATTTTGTTTGAATGGGCCCAGTTTACCAAGCAATCCAGATCACTCACTCTGCATGACTTCCCTGTCCTCAGCATTGTTTACCACTCCACTAATCTTTTGTGTCATCTTTATATTTACTGCCAGATCATTGATGAAAATGTTGAATAGTGTCATGTCTAGTACTGATCCTTGCAGAACCCCACTAGCAATACCCACACTCAGTGACTGTTCCCCAGGGACAACTATTTTTTTAGTTCTGTTGGTTAGCCAGTTCTTAATCCATTTATCGTGTGCTTATTCTTTATAGATATTGCTAATTTTTTAATCAGTGTCATGTGGTACTAAATCAAACACTTAACAAAAGTCTAAGTAGCTACACAGTTACTTTTTCAATCAAACTTTTAATCTCATGAAATAATGAAATCAGGTTTGCTTGACAAGATGTATTTTCCATAAAAACCACATTGACTGGCATTAATTATATTCCTATTCTTTAATTCTTTGTCAACTGAATCATCTTTACCATTATTTTGAGTGGGATGTCTATAGTTGCCCGAGTCATCCCATTTGCCCTTTTTGAAAATTGACACAACATGAACACTCTTCCGGTCTTCTGGAATTTCCCTAGTACTGCATGATTAATTAAAAATGAACCAGCAGGCCAAAGATCTGCTCAGCCAGCACTTTTAGGGCTCTTAGGTACAAGTTATCCAGGTCTGCTGTTCTTAAAATGTTTTATCTCTAGTAGATGCTGTTTAACATCCTCTTTTGTTACTAGTAGACTGGAAAGTAGCTCATTATCCTCAGGTAATATGAGTACATGATCATTCTCATTTCCAAATGTAGAACAAATATCTATTAAATACCCTTGCGTTTTCTACATCATTAACAGTTTTACCATCTCCCTCTAATAATGGGCTTATACCATTGTTAGAATTTCTTTTGTTCATAAAAAAATCCTCCTTATTCTCCTTACGCCTGCCAGCCATGAATGTCCCTTGATATCTTTAGCTTCCCTTATCAATTTTTTGTACTTCATCACTTCTAATTTATATCAATTGCTATCTATTTTAACCTTTTTCCATTTGTTATATATTGCCTTTTTATTTCTGATTGCTGACTTTATTTTGCCGCTGGCTTTTGGCCAAAGTTTTCTTCTTTCTTGATTGTGAATTCATGGCTTTTTGCCATCTAGTAAACTCTTCTTAAACAAGTGTGAATTTTCATTCACATTTTTCTGTGTAAATTTCACTCATAATTTCCCTCAGCCCCGTTGAAGCACCAAATATATATATTATTGGTCAGAACCTTCCTCTCTTTGCCCATAATGAATATAATTAGGTCATGATTGCTGGTCTCTAGGTAACACCCAACTTCCAGTTCAGTGAACAGTCCACCATTATCCATCACAATAAGGTCCAGAATAGAGTTACCTCCTGCTGGCTGCAGTCCCTTTGTGTTAGAAAATCAGCATCAAAATGTTTTACAAACTCTAATGGAGTTTTACTCCTGGCTGTAGGAGACCTCTAGCATGTCTTCTCAACTGAAGTCCCCCATCACAACCATTTTTCTTTCCACATATTACAGACAAGTATTTAAGAAGTGACTCAACCTGTTCTCTGGTCTGTAACAGATCCCCACCACTGCCCCCTCCTGGGCATTGACAGCACATTGATCCATGTGCATTGAAGAGCTGGTGGTTCTGCGCTATCAGTAACTCTAAAACAGGTTATGGTCTCTTTAATGGAGTCACCCTCCCCTCTGTACTCCCTCTCCTTCCTTGACAGGCCCTCCCACCTTGTCAGTAACAATAGTGGGGAGTATCAGGGGGTAGCCGTGTTAGTCTGTATCCACAAAAACAACAAGGAGTCCGGTGGCACCTTAAAGACTAACAGATTTATTTGGGCAGAAGCTTTCGTGGGTAAAAAACCTCACTTCTTCAGATACATGGAGTGAAAATTACAGATGCAGGCATTATATAATGACAGGTGAAGAGAAGGGAGTTACCTCACAAGTGGAGAACCAGTGTTGACAGGGCCAATT